TCTGTTTGATTTTTGAAAACTGTTGATGAAATCTTGAAATTCTCTCATGTAGTCTTTGTTCAAAACATAATTTACGCACTTTACAAAGCAGCATCCATCACTCGGTATATAACAATTTATACCGATATATTCTTTTATCTTTTTGAGTAGGCTAACACCACTACCCTTTTTTGATCTTTTTATTTCTTTATAATTATTTTTACGGAAAATGATTTTTCCCGTGAAATACCAATCGGTGGCATCTGGTTTTTCATCCACTGTAGCGACGAAATTGACAAAAGTTTTGGTATCAAAACCTACAAATTTCATGTCTTGTTTGTATTTTCCATCTTGAGTTATCTCTCCAACTATTTCAATTTGCCCTTTAAATGTTATAAATTCATTAGAGATAAGGTGAATAACATCGGAAAAAAGTTTATTTGATATGAATTTTTCATCGTCTAAAATTTCAATTTTATTCATATTTTTTAAGCAACTATTTTTAACTAGGAATTTTTCGAAAAAAAAAATAAATTATAATAAGCTTTGATCACCACTAGATTTTTTATGGAAAATCATTTTTCCTGTGAAATCGGAGGAATTCGATTTTTTATCCAGAAATCGACAAAAGTCATGGTATCAAAACCTACAAATTTTATGTCTTGTATGTATTTTCTTGAGTTATCTTGAGTTATCTTTCCATCTAATTCAATTTGTCCGTTAAATGATAAAAATTCGTCAGAGATATGCTCAATAACATTGGAAAAAAGATCATGTGATATAAATTTATTCATATTTTTAAAGCAACTATTTTAACTAGGAATTTTAACTTTTATTGATGATATTTCTACATCAAATTTATCTAAAATTTCATTGAATTCTAATTCTTCAATGGTTATGTTCTTATCCTCTCTCGATCTTTCGAAAAAAATGAATAATTTATTAAGAAATGTATTTAAAATTTTTGTTTTCCTTTTATAATAAGCTTTTTGTTTTGATGTAAAACCTAAAGTAATCAAACCACAAGATGAAGTTTGAACGGCAGTGAACGAGGCTAATACTATTGGGACGATGATTGGAAGCATTAATCCACCGGTTACGGCTGTTGCCACCGTTATCCCTATTGTTAAAACTGTACTTAATGTTTTGAAAACAGAATCGATTTTACTCCATGTTTTTCTACATTTGTTGAATTGTTTTAGTTTTTCTTTTAGTTCATTTTGTTTTTCTATCATGTAGTTTTGTCTACTTTCGAGTTCCATTTTTAGGTAATTAAATTAAGTGAACTTCTGATAAAGCCGCTTTACTATTAACTCTTACAGTTACTAACGATATTTGTTCTTTCGAATCATTAATCTTATTCAGATGAACTGAAAATTTTGGTTTTTCAATATAGATTGATATATTAACATATACACCATCTCTTATTAAAAATTTTTGATTTTGTTGACTTTTATGAATATCGACTGAGGTAAATATATCATTATCAACAAAATATAGTTTTACGTATTCAAAGTCTGTTGCTCGTAAAAACTGATATCTGCTTATATCTTTTTTTTCTGGTTCTGGATTTCTAATAATATTCATTGATGGTGGAGTTTCAGTCTCCAATATCATATCAAAATCACTCAATGTAAATTCATCTTTTTCATTATCTGGTATGATTAACATTCTAAACATATCTATATATTTTCCACTTGTTTTAATTTCATATAAGTGATTAACCTTGTTGTTTTCGTCGTTAATTTCTAATTCTTTAGTTTCTACATTTTTTGTACCATTGATAAACTGAAGAACTTTACGAGCGTTAAATTGACGATTAGATGATATTGAGTTTTGTCTGAAGAATAATGAATCAACTTTTACCTGTATAGGAAATGTTATTTCAATTGTAAGTTTTCCTCGAAATTTAAAAATATATGGATAATTAACATCAAAAATTTTTTTGGGAAGAATAGTATAATTTGGAACAGAATATAGTCTAATATTTGCTGTAAATCCATATGTTTTATATTCATAGTCTTTTGATTTATCAATATTATCAGTAATAGAACCATTATCAAAACCCAAAAATCTAAATGGAATATTGAAATAATACGATTCTTTCTTGAGAAACTTTTTTTCTAATGCGATTATATTTTTATCCTGTTTTAAAACTAGGTTATTAATAGTGGTTATCTGTTGTTGAATAACACTATCATCAATGTTTTGTTGAATATTTGTTAGTTCTTTTTGTAATTCAGTTTTAAATTTAGTTAATTCCCGTTGCAATTTGTCTTCACTTATATCTATTAGTTCTATTTTTTGCTTTGTAATCTTATCATCTAAATTAGATATTAATGAACTTAAATTTTGTAACTGAGTTTTATCTACTACATTGATTAATTGTTGTTGAATAGCGACTATTTGTTTTTGTATTTCACTATCATCACTAAGTTTACTTTCTAATGCGGTTAATTTGTCTTCACTTATACCTGGATTAATATTGGCTATTAGTTGTTTAAGATCTATTTTTTGTTTTGCAATCTTATCATCTAAAGTTTGTAACTGAGTTTTATCTACTACATTGACTAATTGTTGTTGAATAAAATTTTTTAAACTTGTTACTTCTTGTTGTAGTTTAGTATCATCAATAAAATCTTTATTATTTAGTTGACGTTTGAAGAATCTTTTCACATCGCCTATTCTTTCGTTTAAATGGTTTTTATTTACTTCAATTAAATTTAATTGTTCTATTAAATATTTCTTGTGAATGGCATCATTATCGTTTTCCGGAGACTTTAAATTACTTATGCTAAAATTGTTCATATCTAAATCACCTTGAAAGAGTGTCTCCGATTTGATCCACAAAGTAAGGTTTCGCTTTATTTATCCACGCTGTAGTGTTAGGTTTTTTAGTTTCTAAAGATAAAGAACCTAATCCAAACTTATTCGCCATTTTTATTGAGTTAAATTTATTACAATTTCTTCAAACTGTTTTCCTAAACTCAACTGATATAAAACCCAAAGTGAAAGCTGACCACAAACCTTTTGTCCCGGTAATTGAATTTGAAATGTTGAACATTTGATTGGTTTATTAGTCAATTGGATTATCTCTTCAGTGGGTTCTAATCCATAAGAATCGAAGAAATAAAAGTCAGAGTCTTTGTACAAAGCAGAATGATGAACTCCTTTTTGATCGGAAGTATGTATATTTGTTATAGCGTAAAATTTACCTTTCTTATATTTGAGATCATTTATTTCATCTCTCACACAATATTAAAACGGTGATATATTTAACTCATTCGCCCATTTCATAAGTTGAAAGTTTGTGGTTGTATCGGTTCCATATTTATCGAGAAATTCATTCATTTTTAAAAGTCGGTTTTTTGGAAATATATACGTATTTTGTGTTTGAAAAAAATTGTATTACATTCTGATAAAACACATTCAATAATATTTTGAACATAGATTTGCATTTAAATTTAAAAAATTTAAAGCGTAAATGCTTGTCTACATCTCTTAATCTTCTATCAAATTCTTCATTGTTCATTTTTAAAAGTCGGTTTTTTGTAGTTCATTTTGATAAAACCTACCTATGATTTGTTCTTTATCTTGATCGATTAATTCATATGGTGATGTAGTGTTTACTTTATCAACGATGAATATTTCGTTCGTCCAGTATCCAACGTAACCTTTTTCGAATTTACTTTTATATTTGAAAATACGAACTCGATCTCCGACTTTAAATTTGGATTTGATATTTAAATTCTTTATTTCATTTTCGTAGTTATGTTGTGCGTTAATTGACTTTATAATATTTGGATTACTCGAGGCTTGTGTTGGTGTGACACCTATAGATGAATGAATTTTGTTATTGTATTCGTCGACAACCTCTGGTAATATTTTAAGCCATTTTTGAGATTTCAATTCCGTGAACTTTTTGAATAATTTATTTTTTAGAGTCCTGTTAAATCTTTCAATAACTACAGCTTTACCTTCGTTATGCGTACTGTAAATTTCAAATCCCAGAGATTTCATATTTTTGTTATAAAATTCACTTCCTTTATCTACCCATAGTTTTTCTGGATGACGGTTAGATTGTTTCATAATCGTTTCAAATGCGTGTTTGACTGATAAACCCGTTTTGTTTTTGAGAGGAATAACCCATACATATCTCGTATATAAATCTATAACTGTTAAGCAATATTTAAATCCTCTTTCGATTGGCATATGAATTAAATCGGCTGACCATATTTCATCTTTTTCAAACACTTTGGCTTTTAAAAAGTTTTTAGTTTTTCTAAATTCTTTATGAATTTCATCCGCCAATCCCATGCCTAATTTCATCTTTGCTTTTAACAGTTTAATGATTAATGCTCTTTCCATTCTCTCTTTGAAAGTTGGATTTGGAATATTTTCAAGTTCGATTATCATTTGTTTGTCTGCTTCGTGTCTAAACTTTATGTCTTTGTTTCTGTATAAAATATCATGTTTAAGCGCAGCGGCATCAACTCTATTAATGGGTTCTTCCCCTGGTTTGGGATTATCATTTTCGTCCAATCGTAGATCTAACCTAGTGCCTGGACCTGTATAATTATGACCGGGAAGATGTTTTTCTCCGGGATATTTCGCCCATGGAAATCCAGGAAGAGAACCCAATGATTTTTGTATATATATTTTATATATAAGTTTTTGGACCGTGAGCGACTATCATTTTTATCCTATAACTTTAAAACCTTTTCCTTTCCTTTCTTCTAATCTCCTGTTTCGAAGTTCTCTTATTAGTTCTAATTCTTTCAACTCGTTAGATTGTTTCACTGTATCGCTTATACTCTTTCCCGCTTCAGCGATTGAGCCGATGGCTTTCGCTCCGCTTGAAATGAGTGATTTGTTTTTTGAAACAAAGCTAGCTACTTTTGGAATTATTGTTTTACCTAGAGAAAATAATGAAGAAAAGATACCGTCGCCCGAATAATCTTCGAATCTGTGTTGTTCGTGTTTTAGAATTAAACTCATCCTATTTTTAAATGAGTTAATTTAGTCTGTTTTTTATCCAAAAAGAGTTATCTCCCATCTACTAAAAATGTTCTGTTATTTTATATAAGGTTATTTTTAATATGGAATGTAGGAAATTGATTGAAGGTGTTTTTTGGTGTAAGGGCTGTAAGAATTTATGAAATATAGGGAATATAGGTGTAAGAATTTATGAAATGTAGGGAATTTAGGTCTTTTATGTTATGGGAGCTTTCAATTTAGGTCGCATTTTCCCCATGAAATGAAATGGAATGGGGAAATCCCCAAGAAAAGGGGAATTCCCATGAAAAGGGGAAAACCCTTTTATGCGACCAAATTGAAACGACTAGTACTACTGACCAAGTTTGATGAAATCCGGATAAGAAATAAGAAATTTGGTAATGCGCATGAGCACAACAAAAATTGGTTATTTCCATTGAATTTTTAGTTGGAATATACACATACATAGCAAGTTTGATTAAATTCGGATAAGAAAAGGAAAGTTGGTAACGCGAATGCGCACTGCGCAAATTCGATAATTCCATCAAATTTAGAATTTGATTTTACACATACATTCCAAGTTTAATGAAAATCGGATAAGAAATAAGAAAGTTGGTAAATTAAGTGGGGGTGTCCCTTTAATGTGCTTCTGTAAGCTCAACTTACAGTATAGCATGGTTCAATCCACCCGAGAGCTTATGTCCACAACTGGACATAAAACAGCCATATAAAACAAATATAAACGGAGGGTATCTTTAAACAACTAAAACTTTGATTTCTATTGGGGTTGACAGCGGGTTAACCTAACTTTATCTAATAGCCCCATGTTAAGTGAATTGAGTTTTGAATTCTCATGTAAGGTATGCATGTATTATATCTATGGAAAGCTCAGAATCTCTACATTACAAAATCGAAAGAATTATTGCCATATCTCTATTAGGGACCGAGATATAGCACTGTAAAGGCTCAAAATGGTCCATATTTAGACCCCTATAAAATGGGAAAGAGTTGTCTGCCCCCAATTTTCAAAAGGTCATCAGATAGACGAGGTCACAAATTATCATCACAGTTAATATGAAGGTTATCAAAGGTCAAGGTCACGAGATATACGCCTTCAAACTTTGAAAAAAAACATCCGTTCGTATCAAAAAGGCAAAACCGAAAATCAAAATTTTGCTTCCCACGAATTGTAGACAAACATTTATAGTATCGTTTGACACAAAAATTACACAAATCGGATAAAAAATGGCTTCTGAATAGGAATTTTCGAAAAATGAGGTAAACCAAAATGGCGGCCTAATTATTACTTCCGGTAAGTATTTTTTTAGTTTAATAGGTTTGTATTAATGACACTAATATCATGCATATGTTAGTTTGGAATTCTACTGGAAGTGACGTCACCGGAAGTACTAACTTCGAAACCGGAAGTGATGCAACAATTTTGAATGCGTTTTTTATTCCCCCATGCTGGCTGTCTACACTATATAAGTTTCAAATCTGTCCAACAAATAGCAACCAAAATAGCATATTTCGATTAATTTCTACAAAAAAAGTATCGAACTAATTTGTGAAAAAATGCCATCATGTGTCCATTGTTATAAGAAGTAGAATAAAGGAAACCCGAGCAAAATCGGTCGATAATTACGCCCACTAGAGCCCACTTTCTGTTTGTTGCTAACGTCGCTACATGTTGCTCAGAAAATTTTCGTTTTACATTCAGTACGCAGTTAGCCACGAGTTAGAAAGTGTGGCAAAATCCGTTTTCCATACCTGTTGCTGTTTCCGAGAACTGAGCTGAGTGAAGAAAAAAAAAATAAAAATAGCCAGAACGAAAACAAAGCAGGGCGTTCCAAGAACGCCCTGCAATAAACGTATATCGGATTTCACTCTTACAAAATGAAATCCTACTCAATCTAAGATTTACAAAAGTAAACAGTGAAACAGATATATTATCTCAATATTAATATACAATACACATTTCATAATTTGTATTTTAAATCCTATTTTTACTATATAAAGTAGTAAACAAATCTTCTATTTTACCGAAATTTTGAAAAAAAACCTAAGTCAGAATTTATTTGTAAGTAAGGAATATGGATGAACATAAGTATTAATAGTGCAAAATAGTAATATTTTTGATAATATTGTAGCTAAAAAAGTATCGATAATTTCAAAAACTAAAGAAAGAAACAGTTTTATCGCTCTCCTGAAAACTTGTAAAGTTGAGTTAGAAGGTTTTATCAGCACAGGGACGATATAGGATACCTATCACCAGCATAACAGCCACCAAACAACTTAATATTTCAATGAAAACACAATATGTATATTGCCGACAGCCACCATACACTAGACAAGCCCAAAGGGGCTTTTAGGAACAGCAAACTTCTATCATCGATATAGCCATCCTTGCATCTACCCGTTTAAACAGTATTTTATTTCTATTATATATTTTTGCAGAGTATAAATAGGGTTTCGGAAACAAGTCAAGGCTTACGTTAATCCGTCACAAAATACATTGTATCAATATACAGAAAAATATAAATGAATAGATAAATAAATAAATTAGCATACTAATATATATAATAATTCAACAATAAAGTAGATTGATAGTTACCACAGTTGATTATGTACATAAACATATGAAGGGAAATGTGCAAAAGTGCATACAGTGTCCACAACAGACAGGGGTCGTCATCACCAAGAATTCCGCCCGTCCACAAGCACAAACGAAGCTACAGACAAAGACAGTCGGGTTGGTCAATTGTAGTCTTTTTATCTTTATACACCAGGTTTCTAATTTTTCCTGAAGCAAATATAGGTCTAAAACATAATAATTCGAATGAACGTTGAGATCGGCTAACGCAACATATTTAATATACATATCATACGGGCATACAACAGTATTTCATTTTGATAACAAAACCTTATTCCCTTGTCTGTACTGATCCGTTTTGCCCTGTCTAATTACTTCTTTAAGATAATCTTCGCATATAATTATATCTTTACATCTAACACAGCTGAATTCATTAAAACGTAAAAAAAACTTAACTGACATTTTCAAGAATAGGATACGAGGCATCTCTTTTAATTCAACTTTAAACTCAAATGTAAATATAAACTAAATTATTACTAAATGTAAATATATACTAAAATATAACACTATGTGCATGAAAAGTTCGCTAAATATAACACTTCAATAATCTAACAACACATAAATTAGGTAAAATAAAAAATCTTCGAGTTCCCTCTAATGCCATTTTAATTTCTATCGACGTTTCTTCTATGTATACCAATATCGATAACACTACTGGTTTAACGGCAGTTCGTAAAGCTTTTAATAGAAACCCAGATCCAAACAGATCCGACGATGCAATTCTACAGCTTTTAGAGATTTGTCTTAGTCGAAACGATTTCACATTTAATGGTAAAACATATTTACAAACTTCAGGGACAGCAATGGGCAAACGATTCGCCACTTCGTACGCAAACCTTTTCATGGCAGAGTGGGAACGTGAGGTGTTACCCCTCTGTCCATTTGACCCACTTTTTTACGGACGCTTTTTGGATGACATCTTTATGGTTTGGACTTATTCTATCG